TTGGATACAGAAACTTGCGACTTGAATTCATGAGATCAGGGTCATTGGTGATCAAGGAAAGGTGCAGGGCGAGATAATGCATGTGGTATATGTCTGAGAGAAGGGTGGGTGTCTCCACGGTGGGTGGTCAGTGGTTAGGAATCTGGTGGTGGTCAGAGACGTTTCAAGTGGAAGACTCGTAATGATGGTATGGGTAGTTGAGAACTTCTGGGTGGAAATATGGGTAGAAGATTGTTGAGTAGCCAACTCCCGGGCTGGGATGTGTATTCTTGCTTGGATTTTGAGCAGTAGTGGAAAGGGTTTTGGAGGATCATCAGTGTGTTCTGAAGAGTTAGCGCCTTCCTTGTATTCCAATTGAGTGTTTGGATGCACTGAACTTGTGCATTGAGTGAAATAGGAAATTATTATGGGATTCAGAGGAAATGTATTGATGTATGTGTATGGTGCTGGGAGTAAGGGAATCAGTGGTAGAGACAGGACATTGTAATGTTCTGTTATGGTGTTCCGTGGTTTCCACGTATAGCGTCCCGATTTCGGAGTTATTTTGGGTTTAAGACGACTAGTGATGTATCATGAATCTGCGGTTCCAGTGGGAGCCCTTCGTGTATTGTCATCCAGAGGGTCTATTTAAAGAAGTGGATCTCCGCAAAGGCAGCTTCTGTGTTATGGCGGTTGCCGCCAGAGTCTGTAATTCATATCAGGGCAAGTGTGTGTGTAACTACCTATGATAGTCTTCGGTGCAAGAGTAGTGAGCTTAGTGTGGCATTGTAATGAGAATGAGAGTATAGGGTGAAGCTACAGGGAGCCATAGCATTCACCAGTCAGAGGAAGTTGTGATACTACGGGGAGACGTAATACTCACACATCAGAGAGAGAGAGAGAGGGAGAGAGAGAGAGAGAGTAGTGATGCTACGAGGAGCCGTAGTATTCACCATTCAGAGCGTGTTGTGATGCTACGGGGAGCCGTAGTACTCATACGTCAGAGGGAGGGATTCGTGGTACTACGGGGAGCTGTAGTACTCACTAGTTAGTTGGCGTCGTGATACTACAGGGAGCCGTATTATCACTAGTCAGAGGCTGTCGTAATGTTACGGGAAACCATAGTTCCCACTAGTTGGCTAGAGATTATGATGATGGAGTATTCTCCGATGAGTGCATGATGCAGAAAAGTTTTAGGCCTGAGTAGCCCTAGTGTTGAGTTTATGGAGCCAATGGTTAAACCGGGGCGAGATTGGAGTCCCTGTCTCTGTCGGGGTGGGTCAGCAAGGAGTGCGGGAGAATATGCGCAGCAGACGCCAGAGGTTAGAGCTTAGTCGATCTTCGGTTGGATTGTACTTAATGAGAAAAAGGAAATTTCATTACTTGCGTGTTGCTGGGTCGTGATGGTAGTCACGGGGAGGAAGTTAGTGAGATATGTTGGATCATGTTATGTGTGACCCTTGGGGGTTCAACTTTGGGGCCAACAGCTGACCTGGTGATTAGTATCGAAGAAGAATATGAGAAATGAGCTAGAGGATATGCTTCAGGAACGATCGAAATAGGTGATGCATGTGGACACTTCAGAACGAGCGAACGATTCAGACGCTCGAGGATATGCTTCAGGAATGTGTAATAGATTTCGGGGGGAAATTGTGGCATGTAATTGCTCTTGGTAGATTTTCCTACAACAACAGCCATCATTAGTGCATCGGTATGCCACCCTTTGTGCTGTTCTAAGGAAGGAGGTATCGGACCCCATTTGTTGGGGAGAGGTAGGGAAACATGTGATGGGAGGTACAGAGATCGTGCTTCAGACGTCAGAGCAAGTATAACAGGTCAGACAGAGGTTGTTGACCGCTCAGAGTCGCTAGAAGAGTTATGCGAACACGCGTCGATCCTAGCTTGAGTTCGAAGTCGGCGACTTTGTGCCCCCGAAGGTCTCTCCTTGGAAAGGAGTGATTCGATTCAGGAAGAGGGGCAAGTTGGGGCCCCCAATATATTGGTCCATCCCGGGTGGTTGCGAGGGTAGGCAGGGTAGCCTATCGTTTGGAACTGCCAGCAGAGTTGGGACAGATTCACGACACTTTCCACATGCCGCAATTACAAAAGTGTATATAGCTAACGAGTCGGTGATAGTGCCATTAAAGGACATTCAAGTGGATGTGAGCCTGAACTACGCAGAGAGACTAGTTGCAATTGTGGATCGGAAGGTCAAGGTTCTGAGGAGCAAGGAGGTACCCTTGGTTTTGGTTCAGTGGCAACATCGGAAGGGGTCCGAGATGACTTGGGAACCGGAGCGTGAGATGCGCGAGCAGCATCCGGAGTTATTTACAGAGCGAGACTTCGAGGGCGAAGTCTAGTTCTAGCGGGGGAGAATTGTAACATCCAGATATCCAGGTATGGGAATTTGAGTATTTTATATTGGGGAATGAGGAGACTCGGCGAGTTGACGCCTCAACTCGTTGAGTAGGATCGCGTTTTGGGGACCACTTTAATTAAGGGACTCGACGAGTCGGGTATTTGGACTCGCCGAGTCTACGCTATCAAGGAAAACCCTAATTGTCCAGGTTTGGGACCTATTTAAAGGCCCCTATGGCCTTCAGTGGCGGCCACCTACACCTTGAGAGACTCCTATCGAACCAGAGAGCTGAGAGAGTGAAGAAGAGCCATTTTGGAGCTTTCTTGAGGTGGTTGTGCAATGGAGTAGTCATTTCCAGCAAAAGGAAGTCAAGGGGGTGTCGATTTAGAGCTTTTGAGCTTAGATCATCACCATAGAGGTATCAAATCGTTCTCCCTTTTCTGTTTTGGGTAAGATTGGTGATTTTACGGTTTTCTAGCTTCTTTTATGGCGTGATTTGTGGAGTATAGTGACCCATTGAGTGTGAAGACAAAGATCTTGACCCAAAGAGGTCCAGAGAGTCCCTTCCATCCTGCTTTATGCATTCTATTTGGAGTTTTGAGCTAGGGTTGTTATGTAATGAAGGGTTTCACCCAAATGAGCTTGTAGAACCTTGCATGAGTGCCCAAGGTTCGACATTTTCGTGGTTATTGGCTTTAAGGAGTCAGATCTATGTTTTGGTGAAACAGATCTGACCTCAGAAGGTCAGATGAGGGTAGTCATGGGAGCAATTCGCCGAGTCCATAGGCAGACTCGACGAGTCGAGTCGGGGTTGCCCCGCGATTCGTTGCCGAGTAACTCGATGAGTGGAGAGGGAACTCGTTGTATCTAAGAGGTTTAAAAAGGATTTAGAGAACCCGCATGGACTCGCCGAGTCACTCTTGTGTACTGGCCGAGTCTGGTCATTGTGGACCGTTGGCTTGAGTTGTCTTATGTTGACTTTGGGAGTTTTGGTCAACAGAGGTAATAGAGGTCAGGGAGGGGTAAAATGGTCTTTTACCCATTACCTGACTAGAGAGGGAAAGAGTAATTGTTGGTTAATTAGAGATAGAAATTTGATTATTAATTAGAGATATTTGCCTTATATGTTAGGCGATGGCGAGTCCGAGGTTCGCATGTGCAGATAATTGCTTTTTGATTGCCAGGTGAGTCTTCTCACTATACTTTACCTTGAGTAGGTAACCAGAGTTATGTGACAGAGTATTTGTATGCTATGTATATTATGTGTTGTACTACATTATTTCTATGTGATTTATGTTATGCATGTTTACAGAGTTAGAACCGGAAGTTTCCCAGAGTTAGAACCTGAGGGTTCACAGAGTTTGGGTGTACGGACCCACAGAGTTATAGCCTTGAGTGGCTAATATGTGTTATATGTGGTATTTTGGGGAACTCACTAAGCTTCGTGCTTACAGTGTTTTGTGTTATGTGTTTCAGGTTTCTCACAGGATCACGAGACGACACCTGCTTGATTGTACACACCAGCGAAAGAGTTATATTTCGAGGATCCTGGTTTATTATGCAAGTGAAAACAGAGTTATGTTTTGTCATGTGATCATGAATAAGATTTTAAGAAAAGTGTTTTTAAGAATTAAACCATTATATTTAAATGAAAAATTGTTTTGAAATTTACGGTGTTACACAAAATCCAAAACCAGTTTCTAAATTAACGGTGAACAATTAATATGTTCTAGATTTTTCATCATGGAGTTGTCGAAATTCAACCCTCGTGGTTTGTACCTTGGAATCTCATTATTTTTTTGCGAGATCTTGATGAAATGCTCTTGTCCCAAGACTTTTCTTCCCAAAAGATCCATTTTTTTTATTTTTCTTGAGATTTCAATTTTATCCAACCATTTAAATAAATCCAAAGCACACTTGCTATTATGGCTACACGGGTTAGACAACTACATCTTCCATTCTTTCGGACTTAAATTGAGTTTCAAAATTTTGTTGAAGATGAAGCCTCCCTTAAGCCTGTTTAAAAGAAGCCTTTCACTGTTTCTCAACTAACATATGATTGTAATTCAATGGGGTGTCACAAAAGCACTTCCAAGTCTCTTTCGACTCTGAAAGAAGAGATCGTTGCCCGGGATCCAACTGTTTTTATGCTGATTTATAACAGACATCAAAAATTCCCAAAAATAATTTGTTTTATTGCCTTATATTTGGCACACTCTTGCACAAAAATCCTTGAGATTTTTCAAACGTTTGGTCTCAACATTCCGAATGGTTACTTTCAATTATAAAAACAGGATATAGCTACTAGTTGCAAACAGGTTGTGGACATAAATTCATCGTTACGAATGTGTACAACTGAAATAGTAGTTCTAAAGGGATAAGATTTCAATTAGGTGCATGTTTTTCCAAAGTTCCTTACAACACGCCTGTTAGTTATGCCGCATGACATACATATAGATGTAACACCTTTTCAAGTGCTTTTTCAGAGAAACGAAACCGTCTACCGTTGGCTTTCTCTCTCCACCAATAACGTGTAAAATGGCCAATCGACGCTTGATTTCCTTGATCACTTTTAAAGATTTCAAAATCTCTCAAGCAAAAACCCTTTCTCTCTCTCTCTCTCTCTCAACACATAGTTCATCATCATCTCAAACCGGTTTCAATGGCTTATTCTTCTGAGACTCTTTCTATTGTGGAACAAATTGATTCCACTGCCATGCTCAATATCAAGGCAAATCAGAATCTCGTTCTGGATCTTAACTCTTCAAGATATTACGATGACCTCAAGCCAATGATTAAATATCTGAAATATTCTCCTATTACTCAATATATGATAATGGCAGAAACTGTGCCGATGGTGCATCTTTCTAATGCATATTCTTTTGCTTTCTATAATCAGAATGAATGGGTGATTAATTTTGAAATCGATTCCCATAAAATCTCTGTGACAACCTGAAATTTCTTTTGTATAAACCATTCAAAATCAATCAAGTTGGATTTATTTCTGTCATCATTTAGCATTGTTTTGGGTCTATTTGGGTATTCTAAGCTCAGTACAATCAAGGTTTAGGTTCAAGGATGAGTTGTTATAAGTCATAACATAAATTTCTGGCCAAACACTCCTTTGAGAGGAGTGTACGTCCGCAAACATGAGTTTATACTCGTACACCCCCACACCACCTCCATAGTTGAACACTCTCTCCGATATATGGAGTGTCTAGCCTTCATTTGTCATTTTACACACTCCAAGTCTAGAACTTCCTCTATCTCTCTCTCTCTCTCTCTCTCTCTCGCTACATCCATCGAATTTCCTTCAAGATCTTCAAAAATGTAAGTGTTTCTCCATCTTGATTTGTGTTTCAGTCCCTTATCTAGTGATGAATCCATGTTCCTATCTCATTAATCTCATCTTTGAATAGATCTTCATCTCTCACCTAGAACACACACTAGTACTTGGTGGCTAAAAACCCACTTCAAGCTTCCAAAGTTTGAGTAACCACTTCCTATACTTGCTATCTACTAGAAATGCTTGATTTTCACCTAGAAATCGACTCAAAAGGCATGATAACGAAGGCTTTGCCGTAAACCCATGTGTATGGCCGTACTCACCTCATGGGTCGTAAACCCTAGTTTTTGGTCAAGGATTGGACTTAAACTCTTCTTTAAGCTATACATGGGACCTAAAACACCTCCGGGAGGCTAGAAAGGACACTAAAACACCTCAAATACACACTTCATCAAGAGTGTACGACCGCAAACTCCTTGGACCTACACCCATTGGGCCGTAAACCCATGAGTCGTACACTCTTGGGCTGAAAACTCCATTGGGCCGCAAACCCATGACCGTACTGTTGGGTATTGAGCATTCTAACACTTCCTAAGTGTACATGCAACCCTAATAAACCTTGGATCTATGTTTGTCTAAGTACATGCAAAATATTATTTTTCCAAGGTTTATAACCTATCTAGCATGGTATGCGGTACTTTTAAACATAAAAGAACTAGATGAATTACATACCTTTTGTTGATTGTTGATTCCATGGAGTTTGAGAGCCAACCACCAACAATGTGAATGCCTCAAATGGAAATCACAAATCACCACAAACTTGGAAAAACTATGAGAGAGTATACTAACTCTTAGAATTCGGCCACTACTATTACACACACACTCTAGGGTTTTTTCATGAAACATAATAACCCATGTCTTTTCCTCTTCCAATGATCCATGGGTTAAAAGCTCCATGGATCATCCATGGACTTCCATATATGCTTAGCCCATTAACAAATGAGTATTAGCCTACAACATATAAATATAATAGCCCACGATTTAATTAGTCTTCCTTTTAATCACTAAATTAATTCATAATTAATTCAAGATTAAAACTAATTAAATAACATGACTTTATATTAATATATTATAACTTATAATATATTAATAAATCATAGGTATAAAATTCTCATAAAATTATCTATAAACCGTTTGGGTGAAGTGCAACCCAAATGGACCATGCCGGGTCGGGTCAAGTATATACCAAATAAGTTATGGACTTAGACACCTTATCCAACAGACTCCTACTCGGATAAGTCTAATAACTGTATTTGCCTATATTAGTTTAGGCACCAACCGGCAATCTTCGCTCTCAAAAACTCTGTTGAACTATGAAGCGCCATTTTAGATAACTGATCATATAGTCCTCTATTCTCATGATATCAGCTGGACAAATACATGGAACAATGTCTTACTTATTGTTTGGCAGTTGTTTCTCGATTTCTGATTTGTTTGACAAAGAACTTAACTGAACACATCAATTTAGTTCTGACCAGGCCCGGTACATGGGTCAACACAAAATCATCGAGGGGCCCTGATATCGCTTCTATCTCTAAAAGGAACAGATAAACTTCGACTCATATACTTGTTCTACTACTTGTTGAATTGTACACAAAGGCACTTTTTATAACATTAAGTTACTGATGCGTTTATGTGGAATCAATGCACAACCAACTCATAGGTAACAACTCATATCTCTAGGTTTGAAGACTTATATGATATTATCGTCTCACGATCACTCGAGATAAATTCCATGAAGTGATACAAGTCAGCGTGGGTTTATTTCAATACTCATAACTTATGAGCACTCATGAACGATGTAGCAACCATTGCCATTTCTAAACACCTTTAGCCATCTACAAACCCAATTCATGACAATCTTGATTCATACCTACTTCCAACGTATTACCGATTGTGGAGGTTTGAATAAATTAATTATTCTAGAAGTCAAAACATGCAAAACTGAAACAATAGTAAATAATTGACAATGATAGTAACACTTTACTCATAAATTAATCACAAATTTTATTCATCATCAAACGTCGATTACATTTTACAAGTTTCAGAAAAGGCTATCTAATCTGTGAAACTAATATCATCTCTCAGCCTGATGCGCCTCGTATGCTGAAAATGCTTAACCCTCGTCAGTCCCTTCATAAGGGGATCTGCAGGGTTCTCAGCTGACGATACCCCCTTTCCCACAAGGAGTCCTTCTTCAATCTTGTGTCTTATGAAGTGATATTTTCTGTCAATGTTTCAGGATCTAGCATGATCTCTTGGTTCCTTGGCTAAGGCAACCGCAATATTGCTGTCACAGAAAATCTCCATAGGCTCCTTAATAGCTGGTACAACTCCAAGGTCTCCGATGAAGTTCTTCAGTCATATCGCCTCCTTCGCTGCTTCACTTGCTGCTATATACTCTGATTCACAAGTCGAATCAGCCACCGTCTCCTGCTTGGAACTCTTCCAAGAGATTGCCCCTCCATTTAAGGTAAAGACCCAGCCCGACTGAGAGCGGAAGTTATCGCTATCAGTCTGAAAACTAGCATCACTATACCCTAATACTCTCAAGTCATCACTCTCACAAAGGGTAAGGATCCAATCCTTAGTCCTCCTTAGGTACTTGAGAATATTCTTTACCGCGGTCCAATGAGCCTTGCCAGGGTTCCACTGATACCTGCTGACCATGCTCAAAGCAAATGCCACATCAGGGCGGGTACAAGTCATAGCATACATGATCGAGCCCACAGTAGAAGCATACGGTAATCGACTCATCTCTGCTATCTCGGCCTCTGTACTCGGACTCTGAGTCTTACTCAGTTTGGCATTGCTTTGGATCGGTAAATCTCCTTTCTTGGAATTTTGCATGCTGAACCTATTCAACACCTTATCCAAATAGGTACTATGACTAAGTCTAACGAGTCTTTTACTCCTTTCTCTTAATATCCTTATCCCTAGGATATAGGTAGCTTCCCCTAGGTCCTTCATAGCAAAGCACTTCCCAAGCCAGGACTTAACCTCCTGCAAGGTTGGGATGTCAATTCCTATGAGTAGTATGTCATCTACATATAGTACCAAGAATCTAACTATACTCCCACTAGCTCTGACATACACGCACGACTCATCTTCACTTCTCGAGAAAGCCAAACTCTTTGACCTTCTCATCGAAACAAAGATTCCAAATGCGAGATGCCTGTTTTAATCAATAAATGGATTTCTCAAGCTTGCATACTCTATTAGGGTATTCTGCACTGACAAAACCCTCTGGCTGATTCATGTACACATCCTTAGCCAACTTTCCATTAAGAAAAGCGGTTTTGACATCCATTTGCCATATTTCATAATCATGAAATGCAACAATGGCTAGCATGACCCTAATAGACTTAATCTTTGCTACCGGTGAGAAGGTTTCATCATAATTAATACCCTGAGTCTGAGTAAAACCCTTCACAACTAGTCAAGTCTTATAAGTATGAACTTTTCCTTCCATGTCGGTCTTCTTCTTGAAGATCCATTTGCACTCGACTGTTTTACGGCCTGGTACATTGTCAACCAAGTTCCAAACTTGATTGTCATACATGGACTGTATCTAACTGTCCATAGCCTCCTTCCATTTAGCAGAGTCTGGGCCTGTCATGGCTTCCTTAACACTGCTAGGTTTATCCAAATTTACTAGTGTACTATCGTTGATAAATGTATCACCTTCCGTAGTAATATGAAAGCCATAATAAAACGTAGGTGTGTTCCTAACCCGTGTGGAACGCCTCGGAGGTACATACTCGTCAGCTGGATCAACAGGATTTTCCTCCTCAGGTTGATTGATAGTGTCTGAGGTTCCTTCACCTATTGATTCTTGGATTTCGTCAATATCAATTTGCCTCCCACTGTCTCCTTGGCCCATAAACTCTCTCTCACGAAAGACCCCTCTTCCTGCTACGAAGACCACATTCTCATTGGGTCTGTAGAAGAGGTAACCGAAGGATTTCTGTGGGTAGTTGATGAAAATACACCTTTCACATTGGGGTTCGAGCTTATCATGAGTCTCACGTCTCACGAAATCCTCGCAACCCCAAATCTTGATGCGGTCTAAATTGGGAACCTTCCCAGTCCACATCTCATGAGGTGTTTTGGTAACCTTCTTTGTAGGGACCAGATTAGGGATATGGGTGGCAGTCTCTAAGGCATACCCCCAAAAAGATATTGGTAGTGAAGCTTGACTCATCATAGAGTGAACCATGTCTAACAAGGTTCGATTACGCCTCTCAGCTACACCATTTAGATGTGGTGTCTTGGGGGGAGTCAATTGTGAAACAATCCCACACTCCTTAAGATAGTCTAGTAACTCGATACTAAGATACTCACCACCTCGATCGGATCGAAGCATCTTAATGCTCCTGCCCAATTGATTTTCTACTTCCTGTTTGAATTCCTTAAACCTTTCAAAGGTTTCTTACTTATGTTTGATTAAGTAGACATACCCATATCTACTAAAATCATCAATAAAAGTCACATAATACTGATTAGCATCCCTTGTGGCGGTTTTGAATGGCCCACATACATCAATGTGTATTAGGTCCAACAAACCTTCACCCCTTTCACAAGTACCAGTGAAGGGTGATTTTGTTGTC